CTTACGAGTGACCAAGACAGAATTTCTCCTTACAATATTAATGTAATATCAAGCAAACGAGAAATAAGACTAAAAAACATTATCAATCAGGGGATTAGTTGATCCAATACCAAACTCTCCTTACTAACATCATAAGAATTGTATGGCAGACGGTGGGGAGAATCACTAATTAGATCTTGGCAGTGTAAGGGTCAATCGATTGGTGTATCTTAAAAAAATTATATACTTTATACTCATCAATTGTTTTTAGTTGGATGGATTTGTCTCGCTGTTCAGTGATATGTGGAGCCGTAAAAAAGAGATTTTGCAAAGTTTCCTTTTTTTTCCCTTGTTTATTACCAAAATAAAGCTACTTGAGTAAATGCACGAACAATAGCGATGCTTGTGTATTTTCGGATAATTTCGTCGTCCTTCGCCACTGCGTCGACATGATCCGGAAAACTTTCGTTCCTCTATAATACAAGACCTCGACAGTTACATTCGACCGTTTGAATACACGAAAATAAACTTCCTCACTCAAACTCCTCATAGCACCAAACCCAGTCTTGAAAGAGCGATACATCACCTCTTTAAACCGACGCTTTGGCTTTAGGTTGAAATCTTCCGAAGAACTGTACAGTTGGTGCGTGGACCTGTTCGTGCAAAGCGTTTCTCACTAAAGCCGTAAACTTGTTAACTAAACAGAAAGCCGTTGATACTTCAAACACCAGGTTGTATAAGATGACCACGCGAAAATTACCAAGCCAGTCAAGCCGCCAAAACTCGCTCATCAAGTCGAACGCGGTTATCCCTAAAATGTTGAAAACAAGCAAAACTGGTTATGAAGAACTTTTTCTCGATGGAGTGTCATAATAAAACCCAAGCAATCACAGCAGCTAATAATACGACGGAAAAATCAAGAGGAAACAATGAGACCTCAAACTAAAAATAAACAAAAAGCAAACAAACAAACTGCCTGAAGCGCGGGAAAACGCGGGTGACCAAGTCACGATTAGTTTCAGTTTTGAATCTGATTGGTTGAGAAAGTGGCGCAAGTTAACTAGACCAATCACATGACGAAGTAAGCAAAAACCAAAGCATTCCCGGATTAGATTTCACTCTATTGAGAATTTCTCTATCAATCCTTTTACAGTGACAAGATACTCCAGTAGTTTTAGTTTCATATGGAGAACGATCAAGCACTCGAGGTCAGCCATGAAATTCTTTAAAAAGATCTCAATTACAGTCTTACCAAGTGTTCTGGACAGAGCTGGTAACGCTGAACTAAGAATCAATAAGACAATATAGTTGGGGATCACCTGAAATAAACCTGAAAGAACTCTGAATAAACAAACACATGCAGACAGTGACAGGTAAAGAGTACCAAGTGTTGAGGTGAATCAAGAATGACTTGTTTATTTCGAGAACCTGGAAAGAAAACCAACTGTGGTTATTCATAAACTAATATTCTTAGAAAGTGTACATGTCCGACTAAGTTTTTTTTCAAAATTTTTATTCAAGTGCAGTCCATAACATTCCTCATTACGATTCGGATAAATAACTCTAGCTTTTCATGTTCGTATTTCTATCCGCGAAAACTGTTCTGGGGGGGTTCATAACTTAACGTCTTTTTTATTTAAAATTTCGCATACACGATTCGTGTTCGAAAAACGAATGGCGATCTAATTTATGTAATTTAGACCTCAAGACTATTCAAATGCAAATCAACATTTTTGTTGGTGCGAGAGTGTCAAAAATCTAGATTAATATATATCAGCCTTCTTATCCACTCACTCGAGGAAATGTTTGAGTCTTCTATTAAGTACTAAATACTCAATTGTATCGATCCATTCATCGCTGTTTGTTACCAAGTTACTTTACGTGTTTATTTCATTCCTTCTACCATAAATTTTACAAGTAAAGCATCTCTATCTAATGGGTGTTCATCCAAATCCTCGCCGTTTTAGCGTGCATTTTTGATAGTCAACACAATATTAGAACTGATTTAACAAACATATTTTATTGGTCCAATTATTTCAAGCTTATGTATTTCGCGCATGACTGCTGTTTGCGGCTGGTGAACCGGTCACAGCAGATTTGGACCCTCGCAGATTTAACCCCCACTCGCTCCCCCCACCCCATACAAATCCGCTAGCAGATACGAGAGCTCTCTCTGTCAGTGGCTGTGCAAGCCAAAGTCAGAGTGAGAAAAGAGACTGGTAAAAAAATAATTTTACTAATCGCACCTGGTTCGTCTCGAACACTGATGGCGTACAACTGAATTATAAATTGTGAGGCGAATTCGAGGACAAAGAGCACAACAAAGCCAAGATGAGCGATGCAAGTTCATCTTTATTTTTAGATCACCATTTTTTGAGTTATAAAGTAAACGCTTCAAGCGTCGTGATCGAAGGCTGCTGAAAATGGATAAATGGATTTTAAACTTAATCAATTTTTGCGGTTTCCCCATTTTTTTTTTCTGCTCCGAATTTATGCCATTCGAGCGGGTTGTTCCAGAAGAAGCGAGCATACTAAATTTTAAATCAAAGGGTTGGGGAGGGACGTAATTTTTTTTCTTGTGCGTGGCGCAGTCATATCTTGCCTTACGTTTTTGCAGTAATAGAAATGTCTGTTGTTTTTCAGTGCCGGTCGGTCTTCCTTTCAAGAAATCGAGAGAAAGACGCATATAGCATGAAGTCAAAGCGAAAAGTTACTTGCCCTGTCACATCTGAGGAAGGTAGGTTATGTCCGATTTAGAACATTAACTTCTGACAGCCAGATAAATTTGGTCTGCCAGGCATCAGTTTCCTGCTCGAAACTATCGAAACTATTACGAAATTATAAGTGCTAGGCACTGCAGTGTTGTTTGTCGTTTCTACGATGAAACACGCGGAATGATCGTTGAGAAAATGCTTCAATACATGTTTTAAAAGCGTAAGATGAACGAATTCTAGCGAAGTCAGCCTTGAATAGTTCTACATTAACATAACAACTGTATAAAAACACATTCTTTATTACTTTGAATATTGAAATAAACTTCGGTGCCATCGTTATCATCAAGAAAGGATAAAATGCCTCTTCTTGTCTTCTAATCTTTTGCTTGATCAAAATAATTTGATAAAAAATATGGCAATGTTTCAGTGCTTTAAATGATCTTGTCTGTGAATGATTATAACTGACAAACAGTAATATAATCTTTTACATTTTACTTAAACTATCACGAAGTTTCAGGCAAATCTAGAGGCTGACTGTAGGAAAACCATCAACCCTTAAGCCCTTAGGTTGTGACTTGCATCAAATTTTTCCTCACAGTCTTACTGCTTAATCAAACATAAAGGTCATATAAAGAAAGTCATGATTGTTAATCATATTCTCCCTTTCAGTTCTATAGAAAAATTCATTACCTGACGACAAACGATCGAAGGATCAGGTATTACCTTCACAGACCTGCTGCTCTACTACCAAGCTACTGCAATTTACACTATGCGAGTGTCCCGGGTTGTTTTCAGTTAGCTTTGCTCCAGTTCGCTCTTTTTTTTTCAGCAATGATTGTTTTTTATTAGCTATTGGGCCAAGGTGCGATATCGGTTTTCTCTCGCAATTTCATGCAGGACTCTCTGGAGTCTATCAGAATCAGTTTTCTTACTCATTACTTGCCACATGTACCGAGGCACCTGACCCAGGAAAAGGACCCAGTTACTCTGGAGAGTTGATCGTCTAAATTTAATTTAATTTAATTTATTCCATTTCACTGCAATTACATGGGAAAAAAACAAAAGAACACACAATAATAACAAATTGGATTACATAACAAGGCAGTGGGGAAGACTAGAAGGGAACTGACGAACCATACGTCCTAGTCGACCCAGTATGAAGAAAATATACGGATATATAAAAAGTTAATCAAGGTATGTAATTAGCTAGCTGCTAACTACCTAACTGAGTAATAAAGATTTCGCTCGTATGTCTTGTATTGAAAATTCCCCTTAATATTGCGGCGCATTAAGGGTGATTCATACATGTAAGCGTCTGCTTTTTACTTTCGGCGTGTTTCTTGATAACGCGCGATGGAAATCGAAGATTACTCAATTTTTGAGTGCAGTAGACAATTTTCTCAAAGTAAGTATGGTTGCTTATCATTCTTAACAACTCAGATAGACAACCTCTCATCTAAGTTTCTCATTACTCAGAGTTTTTTGTTGTTCTTCTACCACAGTTCATTCAACAAGTTCAGCCGCAGATTATCAACATGGCCAGCAGGCATACGGTAGCTCTTGACTTTACCGATGCTGTTACTCATGGTGGTCAATTTAATATCTCTATCAGCATTCTTAATCAATCACCGACCTTGGCAACTCCAGAAACTGAGATAAAGTCCACTAAGAGGTAGAAAAAAGTAAAAGTGCTCGACTCCGACTCAGAGTAGAAAACGCTTTAGTTGTCAGTTTAAAAGCTTATGCGAGTTAATATTTTTAGAAACTCTACAATTGTCCAACGTGAGCCTAATTACTTGAATGGGCTCTGTAACGTTTTTTGTGGAAATGAATTATTTTAGAAGTACAGTCTCGCCTTCCATATTTATTCAGACGAAATTAAATATTATTTTAGGCATCTTGACAGCGTTGATTGGGTCTAAATATAAGTGATATCGAATTCGCGACTTCTTCGTCCTTTGTGGTCAATTGACCGTGAATAAAAGTTTAAAACATTTGCAGCATCTCAGTTCTAAGATAATAAACAAATTAATTACTGTCTAGTGCGCTTGTACGATTTTTATTCACTTGTTGCAAAGAATCCTAAACTCACTCGCTCGAAGACCGTCGACTCGCTCGCTCATTTGCGATTATTCACGACTCGTAATTATAAAGTAATCTTTGTTTCTCAACGATTCGGATTCATTAATCCCTTTCGGTTATTCCAAATACACATTTTGAAACACCATAGTCTTGTGACATTCTCCAGCAGCGCTCAAAGAATGGTTCCGGCTCCTTGATTATAACTTTTATCGTAATTCTTGATTTTACAAAATGTCAACTTGTACACAGTTTTAGATCAAAACTATTTTCTAAGGAAGGTTGCACAACGTAAATCTACATCTTTCTTCGTACGAGAAGTATCAAAACATCATCCCCCAAAATCTTAAAGTTATAGACTTAAACTATTTTTAACAAACATCAAAACCACATACTCCAAGCTAACTCTATTCAATCCAATATTCGCTGCTTGTTATGTAATTATTTCCTTCCTTCTACTGCTTGAGTTACAAATTTACAAGTAACTTTCACATCTTCTGTGCCCGTCGAATTAGCGTATTCTACTAACATATGAAAATGAGTGAAAACACTAAACTGCTATACCTAACGATTTAGTAAAACCATCGTGATTTTTCATAACTTTAAAACTACTCACGTCTGAGTCAAACTCTGATAAATCTCTTTTTGATGCTCACACTCTGATTCGTATTCCTCTATTTCTCACTGACTAGTGACTTCTGACTCAATGCCGACTCAGTCTCATAAGTAAACCGTCTCTAAAATACATGCTTATGTACTCGCCATCGATAGGCATGAGTGGCCATGCTGACCAACTGACTTTGGAAGATTAAACACTTTCTGTTGTTAGAACACCAACCCAAACACGTCAATTTGCAAGAATCTCACAAATAAACAACAATGTACTTAATGCTTTCGATCAAATGATTCAATCGTTTACTGCGTAAGCCAAAACAAAAACTTTCGTAAGGGTACAAGATAAGGTCAGTAGACAAAAACTAATTAATAGAAGTTAAACAAGACAGTCACAATTTGGAAACTTACTGGTTCGACAGCTCAACCTAAATAAATTGGGCCTTAAAAAAAATCAAATAGTACGGCTACAGGCTATCTAAATTACTACATCGAATTACTACATCACACGAATTACTACATCACACTGAGCTGATATAACACTTAACAACTGATGTAATCACGTCACTGCTGTTCACGTCACTGCTGTCCACGTCACTGCTGTTCACGTTACTGCTGTTCACATCATTGCTGTTCACGTTACTGCTGTTCACATCATTGCTGTTCACGTTACTGCTGTTCACGTCACTGCTGTTCACGTTACTGCTGTTCACGTTACTGCTGTTCACATCACTGCTGTTCACGTCACTGCTGTTCCCGTCACTGCTGTTCACGTCACTGCTGTCCACGTCACTGCTGTTCACGTTACTGCTGTTCACGTTACTGCTGTTCACGTTAGTGCTGTTCATATCATTGCTGTTCGCGGCTTGCGAACCTTCGGCTGTTTCCTTGCTTAACCAACGAAGTAAACATACTCTCATTGTTGAGCCAAGAACGCCGAAGAAACACACACAGACAGTGACTGGCAAAGAGTACCAAGTATTGACGTAATAAGTGAAATGAAACATTAAGATCATAAAGCAGTTTTCTAATACAAACAGAAAGTGTGATAAAAGCACAATCACACTCACACCTCCTGCTTTTGCTTCTTTTTTAACGAAAAACGTAGAAGTATCGTCTCTCAGAGAGTGAATGCCCATAAACAATATCATAAAGAAAACATGTTGTATTTTGTATATTGTAAAGAGTCTACCTCTTTCCAGAATAAAAGTCGCTATTACCACAACACAAGAATGAAATGATAATACGCTAATGATCCACCACTTGTTGCTGACGGTGAAATAACAGATGGCGAACAGGCGACTGCTCAGGAGAAGTAAGTGAGTTACATACAATGCAACTTTGTGTTTTACTTTCAGGTCACTGCTATTTGATATTATGTCGCGCACGGCGAGAATCATCTCATCGGTGGTTGTGAAGGCCCAGGCCAGAGTGAGGAAAGAAACAGGTAAAGAAATCATTTGAATAATCGCAGCTGGCTCCTCTTGAACACTGATGGCGTACAACTGGATTATAAATTGTGGGGCGGACTCAAGGACTGCCTCAAAGAGCACAGCAGCGGCAATATGACCGAGTACATCGTCAGCTTTGATATAAGTATCCATGTTAATTTTATCTTTAAACCGCCATTTCTTGAGACAGAAAACAAAAGCTTCCATTCTTGCGAAGGCTGCTGAAAATGGATGGAATGCACAAAGAGCAGTTTTTACACAATGTGAAGGTGAATTATTATTGTCGTCACCACGGCGGAGAACGAAGAACAATACTGAAAACACGAAACACGGCACTAAAACGAAAGTAAGCCCCACACCAAACCATGTCTTGTGACCCGCGCGATAGAATTCCACCAGTGTAAGTATGTCGGTGATGGGATCAGCAAAACTCAAAATAGCTCCAACAAGGAACAGGAAAGGACTGTACCACTTAAGATTCTCCGATCCCATCTCGACGGACCTTTCGTTAGATCGCCTACCAGATCGGCTTGTATTGACACAGGCTCGGTTACTAATAAAAGTTGTTTGTTGCACCGTGTTCGTAATCAGAGGCTTTTGCACTCAACCTCGACTGAAAAACTGCAGAATTTCCTTTAGTCTAATGTGATTTAACTCTTACGGTCACGGAGAGAGGTTTGCTGCGCGTCTGTAGAAATTTTAATAGAAAATGCTGGAAACTCATTGGTTCTCAGGATATTCTTTCTGGCGCAGTCTGGGAGGGCTGGCGTCTCTGTGATTACATTTCAAGATGGGATCAGCTAAACTAAAATAGTTCCAACAAGGAACATAAAAAGACTGCACGGTTTCTAAAAGTAATTTGTTGCACTGTTAATGATCACAAGCTTTTGAACTGAACCTCGACTGAAAAACTGCTAAGTTTCCTTTGGTTTAAATAGTCTGATCTCACAGTGAAGGTCACAGGAAGAGGGTGGCCGTCTGTGTTCATTTGAGTGTAGTGTTTCGAAGATGCTGGAAACTGACTGGTTCTCAGATTAATCTTTGACGCCATCTGGGAGAGCTAGCGTCTCCGTGATGAGATTCCTTTTTGGAGCGTCCAATGCCTAAACTCAAACTTCTGCCTCTTAAAAGTTCCTCGTTATCATATTTAGGTAAATATTATAGTTATTTTACGGTAATTGAAGTTAGCTTCCAAACAGTCGCCTACTAAATGTTCAATTAAGCTGCGCGGAGCATTCAACTGTTTTTCCAAAGAAACACACACATGAAGAGTTCAAACGAATGTCAAATTTAATCCTGAAAACTGACCCCATCGTGCAAAATCTGTCAATCTTAATATCAGTTTACTGTACAGAATGTTAGTGCAGTACCACGCAACTGATGCCTCACGTTGTCATCAGGGTCGCGACTTACAAGTTAAACTAGTTTCGCCTAAGACCTCGTCAGTTGATCGCCATTCTATTTTCGAACGAAAAGACACTCCATACCTACCCTCATAGAGCGTTAAGGAGAATATCACAGGGAACCGACCAAACCTCAAGGTAAAAAAAAAAAATCGCGGGAAAACGCTAAAGACAAATCTCTTCCCACCCTATTATATAATTGCAATGATTTTCGTTCAAACTTTGAGTAACTCTTTACACCCTGCAGAGCCGTTGAAGATTTTAAGGCCAAACAGAAAAGCTCAGCTGATAATTCTCTCTAAGGAAAACATGTTAATCGATTACTGCACCTAAATAAAACAGATGCTTTTTGGCTCATCAGTTGTTTTCAGTTGGATGAATATTTTCTCGCTGCCCAATGATATGCAGAGCCGTAAAACAGGGATTTTGCAAAGTTTTCTTTTTGTTTTGTTTATTACCAAAATAAAGGTAACAAAATTGAACTTTAAATAAGTTACATTGTATAATTATATCCTAATTATATATCCTATCTCTACTCTTGTTCTACGCTTGTGTTCAGTTAAATCAGAATGTATACATAACTAATACCCAGAACGCAAAATTCGTTATGAGCTGTAACAATGATGAGATATAAATAAATTCGATTAACGACTAACATCAAAGTTGATCCAGTATTTATAATGTAATTAATTTCAATCTAATAGAAACAAATCGTTCAGAAATTTCAATTTAATCCACATCTTTCCGTTGAGACCTTAGTCCTATATCCGTTCCTTGACAGTGACATGCCCTGTTTTAGCCATTTCCGTTTCCGTTCTTCCGTTTTCAATTTATCTAACCAGGCAAGGTTTTCCAAGAAACAAAATGGTGGACGAAGTTATCCTCTGTACTGTCTTTACTCGTCACTTATAGCCTTTGCTAGTTCTACTGTACAAAGAATAATGAAAGGTACCCTTCTTTTGATATCTCTACTTAACCTTGATAGACTGTCCTTGAACCAAACTGTATCATTGTTTAAGAGTTCTACTTCTAAACTCTGTGTAGACTCGAGATCAAGCATAGAACATCACGCGTCAAACATCTATCAAGCAACAGCATCGACAATTGATTTTCTTTTTCATATCTATTCCAACGACGTTACGAAGCCGACGACGATGCGAAGCCAAATACCTTTGCATCGACAACTGAGTAAATGCACGAACAATAGCGATGCTTGTGTATTTTCGGATAATTTCGTCGTCCTTCGCCACTGCGTCGACATGATCGGAAAACTTTCGTTCCTCTATAATACCAGACCTCGCCAATTACATTCGACTGTTTGAATAAATGAAAATAAACTTCTTGACTCAAATTCTTTGTGGCACCAAACCCAGTCTTGAAAGAGCAATACATCATCTCATTAAACCGACGCCTTGGCTTTGGGGTGAAATCGTCGGAAGAACTGTACAGTTGGTACCTGGACTTGTTCGTACAAAGCGTTTCTCACTGAAGCCGTAAACTTGTTAACCAAACAGAAAGCCGTTGATACTTCAAACACCAGGTTATATAGGATGACCACACGAAAATTTCCAAGCCAGTCAAGCCGGCCAAACTCGCCCATCAAGTCAAACTTGGTTATCCCTTAAATTTCGAAAACAAGCAAAACTGGTTAAGATCTACTTTATCTTGATTGACTGTCATAAAAAACCCAAGCAGTCACAGCAGCCAATCATACGACGGCAAAAATCACGAGGAAATAATGAGAAATCATAGTAAAAACAAACAAATAAACAAATAAATAAACAAACAAACTGCCTGAAGCGCGGTTAAACGGGGGTGACCAAGTCACGATTAGTTTCAGTTTTGAATCTGATTGGTTGAGAAAGTGGCGCAAGTTATCTAGACCAATCACATGATGAAGTTAAACAAAAACCAAAGCATTCCCGGATTAGATTTTACTCTAATGAGAATTTCTCTATCAATCCGAAAGGACCATGGAGTTACTTAGTTCGTGAACTGACTGCAGCTTTAGCCTTTTACAGTGACAAGACACTCCAGTAGTTTTAGTTTCATTTGGTGAACGATAAAGCACTCGAAGTCAACCATGAAATTCTTTAAAAAGATCTTAATTACAGACTTACCAAGTGTTCTGGACAGAACTGGTAACGCTGAACTAAGAATCAATAAGACGATACAGTTGGCGATCACCTGAAATAAAAACAACAAGCGCTTTCAAAAACTGATTGACTGCTCCTTGCTTTCGTTTTCGAAATGAGAATGTGGCGTAAAGTTGAAATTTCGCCCTGAGCAGCGCTCTAAGCTGCGACCACTTCAGTGGTCATGGCGTGTAGAAAAATGTTCGCACATAAAATTTCCGCGTAAGTAGCCAAATTAGTGACTCTGTGGCGAGCAACAAGCAAGCTGTACCTTTTCATTCTTGATCGGTTCTCGGCTCACTAGACATAAGTACTATACGATCTTGTTATTCCTTTACTCCCCCGTCCTTCTTTCCCACTAAGCATTACATTGTAGTTGATGAAATTACCTTTATTTTATTTTACTGAGAACTCTGAGTAACCGGGATACATGGTGTAAACCTCCCCCCCCCCCCCAAAAAAAAAAAAAAAAAAAAAAAAAAAAAAAAAAAAAGCCCATGAATTAAAGCTAGAAACCAAGTTTAGAATTCTTTTTTGACATTTACAGCCACTTGGTTCGCTTACCGTGGTTGTGTTAGTCTCGCCCACTGCAGGACGCAGTCGTGAAAAGTATGGAACGCTGTACAGGCCTACTAGGGACGCAAGCATTAAATAACTGAGGAAAGTTAAGGTGCACTGTCTGGATTGCCTGACGAATCCGACGCTCATACAACAAACAATGCAGTTCATCAACTTGCAAAAGCATTATAAAAAAGACTTGGTACTTTGAGAAGCAATTCGAACATGAATTTAAGGGGAAAAAACCCACAAATGCATTAATAACTAGCTAGAGAATACATAAAAACGTCAGTTGAACACTGCTGTGAAAAGATACAATATAAGAATGATCTCCAGAAGAGCACCGAATGTTCCCATCATGGAAGAGGATACCTTACCGAGGACAAGCACCTAGAAACATAAAACACACCGCTTTACAGTTAGAATAGATGTCACTCCTGGAAATAAAATGATTCTACAAAGGTAACAAGGCAAGTAGGAGTCAAAATTAAGCCCGAAAATTCAAATACCGTGGATTTTTTCGGCAGGGCCCCGTGAACAAACAGCAGACTGAGAACATTCAGTGCAACCATGGCCATGCAGCTTGTCTGATAAAAAAAGAAAAACAAAGAGAAAATGCATATAACTTTCCGTCCTAGCACTGGGGCCATAAGGTCTAAGATTCGATTCCTCAAGGGAACTCAAATATTTCCTTTGTTCCACGTTACTCGCAAACGTAATGTCTTTCGTCCTGCAACGAACTCAAAAGTAAACTGGACCTTTGTCACATTTAACCCTATTTGCGACAAACAGTACATTTTATGTCCACTTAATGCCATCCTAGTGGCAATGTAAACTCACAGTCAAAAGCAGCAGAGTAAGAAGTAGGATTGGATAAACACAATTTCTTTGCAATGATGATGCTCTGATGCTTCTTTCTAGAATAAATGAACAGAAGAACAGGTGATAACAATACAAGAGTTCAGATTAAGACCATATTTCATTGAAGACTTAAAATAATTGACTGAAAAAAAAATGGAAAGAATTGAAGTTACTGACCAAGCTCTAGTCTTTGAACTTCCAGTTGTTTTAATTTCTTTGGATTGTGATCAATTCCATTGTGCATGGATATTCCATTGCTATAACCTGAAAAAATTACAAAGAACAAACACTTCATTGATAACAGTAAGCAGTGTGGCCCAGTGGTTAGGGCACTTGACTTGTAATCCAGTGTCCTAGATTCAAGTCTCCCACCCTGCCACACACTGGATTTGTTCTGGGTTGCCCCTAATTCAACTCCTTGGCTGTGCTCTGTAAATAGCCCACTGATCTGCCTCCTGCCAGGGCGGATTTTAAGCACTAATAGTTAGTCTACATTGTGGCTGAAAAGCCCCTATGGGGTAGCTTCAATTAACGTATATTATTATTATAAGATGGACAGCAACCATAAACACTTGAAGACTGAGATGACGGGTGGCACACAAAAATTGAGGCCAGATAGCAAGGTAAGATCGAAGCCTCAAATTCCATAATCAATCGCGAAAAAAAAAAAAAACAGTACATTTGAAAAAAATATTTATTTTGATCCAGAAAACAGAATGGGGGTATTAGTCCTCTGAAGTAAATGTAGCCTTACCAGTGATTGCTACCATCTTCCTCACTTAAAAAAATGAAAAAGTGAATTTTAAGAAGCCCTAATTGGCTGTTGATAGACTGCTATATTCTCCTTTCAAATTGTCTTGTATTTCCTTTTAAACTAATCCTTTGATTCTCATGAGTGACCAGGCAGACAAGTGATGAGAATAAAGAAAAACATCAATTAGGGGATTATTAGTTGATCCAATGCCAAATTCTCCACATTAACATAAGAATTGAATGGCAGACAGTAACAAGAATTACTAAAAAAAAATTAATGAGATCTGGGAGTGAAAGGAACTTTGAAAAAAGTTTGAAAGAGAATTTGAACTTGCATCACATCTCACTTGAGTTTCATTGCATTGAATTTCACTTTTCACTCACAGCACAACATTTAGGAAATGTTGCACAAGGTAAGACTTGTAGACACTCTCAAATCACATAATTTAAAGTACAAACATTGGAACCTGTTTACAAATACAAATAGAAAACTTCGCACCATTCATTTTCCTCTTTATGCTCTCTTCTTCTAATTTTATAGCACTCATTTCATCGTCCAAGTCTCGAAGGAACTAAGAATGAAGAGAGACAAAAATAATACTGGTGAAAGAAAAGCTGTTAGTAATATTAATAAGTGTGCTTTATCAATAGATTGGTAGACACAGGTCATTCAAGCAATCAACATTATGTCTCAGAGATTGCTTTAGAGAATATCTGTGAAGAAAAATAGTAACTGTTTTAAAAGTCTGTTTCTCTTTATAATGGTAATTGAACTGAGTGGAGTGCAATTTGGGCTGAAATCATATGCATGATTTCAAAATCGAACAAGTGTGCAGCACAAGTTCAATTTGAAATCACAAGTATGATTTCAGACCAAAATTGCATGACACGAGGTTCAATTACCACTTTATTACATCCATTTTGAAATAGCCCAAATACAGGACTTGGTCAATTCAAATATTTCACTGATGCAGTACTGAGCCGGTTTTTAAATAAAAAGCGGAACCGGAAATGCTTTTACATCTTATTTTGTATGCAAAACAGAAAGACTTGACGTCATGTGTCAAAAACTCAGTCAAGCATAAAATGATGAAGTTAGAGCAAAAAATGGTGTAATTCATGGATAAATTGCACCAATTAGAGCCACTAAGATTACAGGGACCACCAGTGATTTCAAAATGGATGTACATGTAATAAAGGTGATAATAAAAGCAACTGTATTCCCTCTCTTGTTGAAATTTACTTTTTTTCTGAGACATAAAGAAATCACATGACAGTTACAATAAATAGTAAATCTTAATCAAGAAATTGATAACTCACTAATTAACAACACCACTGCACTCCCTTAACTATGCAAGGTGCCAAGAGCAAGATAATTTCTGTAGTCGGCAGCAGTTTTTTTTCTCAGGGATAACTCATTTCAAAACATTTGATACACACACATTGATACATTTCTGATAAATATTTCTTCATGCTTTCTTTGAGGCAAAATAATCAAGGTTGATCATCCACATATGAAAGAACCCATAATATTCATTAACTGATTGAACCTATAATTGGGATTGTAACTCTCCACAGACATCATTGGAGGCCATCAGAAAAAATTAATGGTTACTAGCATTGTAGCAAGATTACCTGAGGTTTAACCACATACTGGCCAAGGACAGTGAACATCCGTGCAAATCCAACAGGTGTGCAAACTAACAAAAGAAAAGATGATAGTCAAGAACTCCTTGAAAAACTTACGCAACAATTGACAAGCACTTTTGAGTGATTATCACAACACAGACTTCATCCAAACAAATTACTGTAGGATAATGAACTTCCATGAACAATGAAGCTTTTTCAAGGTAATGTTTTGGCAGATGTACAGTACTTACGCAGGAGCATCAGGGCTCCTAGAAGTGATATGCATGAATATATGAATGGAAGACCAGGAACCCATGCCTCTGTGAAAACCAAAAATGATTAACATTTTTAGTTAACTACTAAAAATTTCAAGCTAAGAAAAAAGAAAAAAAATTTTTTGAAAGGTTGCATTCATTTACACCAATGCTCAAAATGAGAGCAGGAGATATCCCTGGTGAATTTTTGAAGCCCTTTTTAAGTACCAGACGAGTATTACACACCACATACATGTACAAGTCGGA